TAGGCTTTTTTTATCGGGGTTTCTCTTTTGCACTGAATTTTTTTCCCTACCAATTTTTTCCCGGTTTGGTGGGAAAAAAATTACAGTGCAAAAGAAACCCCGATAAAAAAGCCTAAAAACACGCCAAAAATACCCCCAAAACCCAAACCTCTGCTTGGAGAGTACCACATACCTAAGATGATCTTTCAAGGATTTGAACTACTAGTACTCGAAAGAAGAAATGTCTCTTTCAAGAGAAAACAAAACTTTACCAACTTGATCGCGTTTTTCTGGAACTTTTGAACGTCCACCTTCCAATGCAGTCGTTTGTATGTTTTCTAGTCTTCCAATATTTGAAATGTTCGATAGTGCTTGTCGTTTTCCATATAGCCAACTTAAACAATAGTAACTCTTGATCTACCGAAGAATATCAAAGCATAGAGAAAAAATACGACTCACCTCATGTTTAAAAGAGAGACCTCAGTTACAAAAAGTTAGAAATGATATTGATAGTGAATCATGACAAAGTCTATATATGTAGCCTTTTCCTTACATAGCAAATAGAAAACCTCAAATATCTCAGACAAAAGTTGTTGTATGAGATCGCATATCATAGCACACTACCTGGCGAAACGAATCATCAACGTTGCTCAACTTGCTGTCTTAACTACTTCGAGAATTCGCTTCATTTTCATATTTACAAAATTGTAATATTTTTTCATATAACTGCTACTTTTATTGCTTGTACAGGATAGATTTTCGCGATTGATCTAAAACCAACTCACCCTGTCTCCTTTTGATTGTCTACATTATCCATCTTGTATATTTTAAAAATGTACGAGCCCCTTCCCAATCTAATAGAATTTGCATTAGTGTTTTTAGACGAGAGCTGTTTATAAGCATCTCGCTTTTTGCCCAATCCTCAAAAAATAAATGTAAATGAAATAAAATGAATAAGTTACGGCTTTAGACGCCAAGAAGAAGAACAAGAAGCCATAGGCGACAATTCTCCGTGAAGTTTTATATATTTCAACAAAATCCCAAGCGTCAACGCCAGACCTACTGTGCAGACATTATAATTAGGCAACGGTTAATACCACGCTCGTCCCCAGCGCCCGTGGAGAAGCCATAGGTTATAGATCGTGGCTTAGCCCAGGCTATGGAAAATAAACTTTCTTTAATGCAAATCTGTCGTTTTTGTTTTCTTTGCGCTATCTAAAGGGTTAGGATAACCTACTCTACTCTGGCGGTATTGTCGTGCGCGCTCGCTAGTACGTAACGTTACACGGCGGCCATCTGAATACATGTACACTGCATTCTTTCTACTATCGGGACCTAAAACAAGACGCAAGATTCCTATTTTGGGGTATAAAATGCTGTCACAATGGTAATATATACCAAATGAAACGGACCTTTACAAAGTACCTCATTTGGTGACGCTATGAGGGTGTACCGTTATCCCTCTACATTTGCCCAGAAGGGAGTTAGTCGCGGAAGGAACTTAGCCACGGAGGGAGTTTTGGCATTCTCCGCCCGCGCCACAAACTCTCGTCCCCAGGACAGTTCACTCTGCTACCCAGCATGCTT